TTTATGATCTTCTTAAGACTATACCTGACTAGCCCAATGAATCTCATCCTAACATTGCTTCAGAAAATACGCAGTTGACACCCCAGCCCTCTCTATAATATTATGATTTTCAATTACATGTGGCAGAAATTCCAGCCAGTGCACATGCTGTGGTTGAAGAATTTAAAGTGCAATGTGAGCTGAAAGAATGTCTTTTAAAAAAGAGAGTGTTTTCCAAAGAAGTGAAGCCCTCCAGACTAGAATCCAGTATTATGACTATAATCATATATGATCATATATGCAATTTACATCCCTCTGAACACAATGGTACTTGTTTCTAAGTAAATATACAGAAGATTGTAGTGTTAATCCTTTTGTACCACATCTGGATATTAGTTTAAGAAAAAGGCAAGGTTCAAAGCAACTCCTAGCAGAAGTCTTTCAAAAACCCAGTTCTTAAAAAACAACAAAACCTGATATACAACAAGTCATTAGTATAGAACTCAGCAATGAGACCAATTGCTATGTATTTCCAGTGTTTTGACAATAATTCGATGAAGGTTTTGAAAAGGTGAAAAGTCAAATGAAAAGAATCATAATAGGATTCCCGCCACACAGAATGGAACATCTTTTCTTGAGAAATTTTAACTAATTAAAATATCTCAAGAAAATAAATATATAGCATCCACAGAGATATATTTTTTCTGTAGATATTGGAAAATATCTGTAGAGGACTATTTGAAGGACGGCATCTCTGTATACTAAACAACACGAGTGCTGTGGTCAGCCGAGGGGGCCCTCCTCTTAGTCCCACCCCCGTCTCAAGTTTAGCTGGTGGAAACGAGAGATAAGGCCTTCTTCGTGACTGCTCCCCACCTCTGGAACTCCCTGCCTAAAGAATTAAAAATGGCCTCCTCCCTCCTCTCTTTTAAAAAGCTACATCTGTGTAATTTAGCCTATGGAGAGGAAGAAGATTAAGTACATCTATATTCACTCTTGCCTAGCTTCTAATATCCACCCTGTTAATCTGCGATTTTAGCCTAATTCTATAAATGTTTTAAAGAGATTTTAAGGATTTAATGATTTAATATGTTTGTGATTATGTGTATTGTGTCATATTTGGTTTACTTGAGTTGTTCTGTTATTTATTGAATTGTTTTTTATTTGTTTGCATATTATTATTTAGCATTGAATGTTTGCCACTGTGTATTTGTTGTAAGCCACCCCGAGTTCCTTCGGTGAGATCGATAGGGTGGGCTATAAATAAAGTTTCATTCATTCATTCATACTTCCATGAGATTTTGTTGTACTGCTCTTTTTAATATAGGAACAAAAATATATATCTAGTTACAAAGTATCACAATATTTCTACTAAATTTACAGAATGAAAAATAATCTGGTTTATTTTAAGAAGGATGATTCTTGCTGACATATCAATTCTTTGTCTTCAAACATTGTGAAAGAGCCTTCACCTGTTTCCATTCAAACATCTTTCACTGTTGCTGAAAACATTTCTTTCTCTAATAAAGAGGTTCAGATTAAGTGTGCTTGATCTAACAAATGCTATGAGTAGAATTCATAGCATTATAATTATATTTTCATGGGTCCATTTGAGCTTAAGTTTGTCAGCAAAGAACTGATATTACTTGAATTCGATTTAGTAATCCACAACATCCTTTTTCTTGTTTTGATGCTATTGCCTGACCATTTTCTCTCTAGTTTTCTTTCCTCTTCAAAAGGTATAGAAGGCAGTTTATAATTAAACACAACACAACCATCCCAAGTAACAATGACTAAAATTTGGATATTATTACTTCTCTTAAGATTTCTTTGGGCTTATTAGAGGCTCTCAACTAAAAGCTTCACTTTTCCATCACTAGAAAAACACAACCACAAACCAAAAAAACTAACGAAGAACAAAAACCACAGATACAAGCAGTATTCAACAACACTCCAATGTGTCACAGATGAAAAAAAAATGTTTAAATATCATTTTTCTAATTGTTCTTGACACTATTCTTTTCCATTCCACAGGAACACATGCACACAAACAGCAAGCAGGCGACAACAAAGATAACACACAAGTCTCTAATGTTTCAGCTTTACCTACAACCGTGTCCTTCCTTGAGAAGCTTTAAGTGATTTGCTTCAGTCACTAGCATTAGCAATCCCACAATACAGACTGTTGAGAAAAATGTTGCTCAACATTAGAGACAAGTACAAAATATTGGAAGGGATTAGGAAGGATCTAAACAACATGTTAAGGGTTTATGAACATTTAGAAGACATGCACTGCATAGTCCCTGACTGTGGATAAGACAGCTAAACATGGCAAGCATACTGACAAATCATCAGTCATTTTAACAAAAACAACACTAGGTCCAAGAACAGATTGTCATTTTACTTTGAATCACTAAATACTAAGGAAGATGGGATCAACAGGTAGGAGGGTTCATAAGTGCTTCTCCAAACTGAAGCAGAGTCTACCATCTTGTTCTCGTTTCACACCATGTTTGTGTTACTTATACACATCTGAACAAGAATCCACATGGGGTGATGAGGCAATATAAAATATGGACCCATAATGAAAAACAAATGGGCTAAGACAATGAATTTTTCAGCATGCAACGCTTCCTAGTCTATTCTACAAAACCAAAACACATTCAGATCTCTGTCTGATGAGGTCCTTAGTCCTTATGCAGAAACTGACTATGTAGTTGGCACTTAAATCTAAAATATCCGAGGAAGAGGGCCAAAAAGATTGTGTGGCATATACAGCTCCATCTTCTAACAGAGGAGAATGGCAAGAAAACTCATTAAGAATATTCCCAAGTATCTATCTATGCCTAAGGTGGTTGCTTCATTCTGTTAATGGCAGGGCCAGATCTGCCTGCACATAGACTTCTCTACATGTAGATAGGCTTTCCTACATTGTGGAAGCCTGATCACAGAAGCCTACTTCATCTACAAAAACGCATGCTGCAAACTTTGCTGTTTGTCTCTGAGGTGCTACAAGATCCTCTTGCATATTGATATTCCAGACCAACACTGCTATGTCTTTGAATTCAAGAGAGATAGCTTTTGCTACTTGAAAGGTTTACATAGGTAGAACAACTGTGTAATTTGTAGGAGTTGAGGTGCAGCACCTTTCTAGATGTTTGACTACAGAATTTTTGTTTTCTGGTTGCAGAATTCAACTTGCTTTCATAGTCACTACTACATATTTCGTTAGTCAGTCTGTCTGTTCAGTAGGCATTGGGTATCTGAAGGAAATATGATAAAAGAAGCCAGGCCTCTTTCTTCTCTTGCAGACCGTGTATGTGTGTGTGTGTGTGTGCGCGCGCGCGTGTGTATTCAGCATAGCAAATGCTACTCTCAGAATAGCAAACAGTACTCTTGAATGGCAGGTATGGGAGAAACTACATGAACTTGGGAGAAACACATTGATACTTATCACCTTGATAAGCTTACTGCCATTTAAAAAAGTACATTCGTTTTGGGGAGTCAGTAAAGGTAGCAACCTTACCAACTAGGCCAAAGAAAATTAAGCTGATCAGCCAAATGATTTGTATATACTGTCCATGTCCTCCTGAATGCTTGATGGAATCAAGGGATAAAAACTAACTACCTCTGTTGTTAGGCTGAGATGCCCTGTCATTGATTCATTCTGCCACTTCTTTAGCCCTGTTCCAAGGTGACTCTTCCTAAGTCCTTCCTCTTGCAGTGACCCTTGGTTTATCTCCCAAGAATGAAGTGAATAACTTAAGACAGAAACCTAATTTGTGTGCCTTGAATGGACAGGAACTTAATTAATGCTCAGGAAATTTGGCTTCATTGTGTTAAGGAAATGGTAGCTTCCAGTGTTTCCAGGTTGAAATCTTCTAGGACTGTCTGTCTCTTCCTCCTCATCTTATTTTTGTTGCATAGAGAAAACGGAGGAATGACAGACAGAATGGAGACTAGCAGAAAAGAGTGTTATTTGTACTCTTCTCCTCAAACTATGGGCCCTTCCACACAGCCCTATAGCTCAGAATATCAAGGAAGAAAATCCCACAATATCTGGTTTGAACTGAGTTATCTGAGGGCCTGTCCAGACAGTAGCTTTATTGCGGTAACATTCTGGATAGTCTCGAATTAATTCGCTACAAACCAGGAAAACCCTGGTTTGTAGCGAATTCATTTGATAGTGGATTTATTCCACGCTTTCTTGGAATACTTGAATTCAGGCAGTATTCCCACAGTTTACCAGGCTAAATAACCCTGGCCTCCAGTGCACTCTCTTAGCAGCTCTCCTGGCGTGTAGAAATGATGTGCCAGGAGAGCGGGGGGGGGGGGGGGGGGGGGGGGAATCCTCCCGCTGTCCTGGCGTATCATTTCTATGCACTGGGAGAGCTGCTACGAGAGTGCACTAGAGGCCTGTAAGTTTATTTTATTTTTCTAAGGGGTCTGGGGGTTTTGGGGGAGGGAGGTAAAGCCTCCAGACATTCTCTCAGGCTAGTCCCAAGAGAACATCTGGGCACCCACCCCAGAAAGCATGAACTTTCTGGGGTTTGTGTAGACAGCCTCCCTGAAATATCCGTGTTTTTTAAACGTGGATGCTTATGGGATAAAAGGCTGTCTGGATCCGCCCTCAGTCCACACTCAGGTAATGTGGGATTTTCTGCCTTAATATCCTGAGATAATAGGACTGTGTGGAAGAGCCCTATAAGATATGGCCAGGTTAGGATAGAAACATTCACCTTTTAATTCCTGTGACTCTGCAACTCAAACAGGTATTTGCTTGGTTTGCCAGAGTAGAGTATTTTCAAGAAATAATTTCCTAATATGGGTTCCTAATGAGCTGCTTTGTTCACAATAAAACTATTTTATCTCTTACATTAATATACCTGCAAAATCAAAAGACATTGGGACAATTGCTGATTATAACCTTTGAGTGAGTTTAATACTAATTGAGGTTTGCAAAGTTAGGAGTTTGTCAAACCTCCCACTCCTGCAATTTGGCTCCACAATAATGATCTTACCTTATATGCAGCATGCCTCATAAACTGCTTTGCAGGTTGCTTCCAGATAGCTGGCACCGTGATGACCCATCGTATCTCAGAGTTATCAATTGTTTCTCCTCCCTGATCGCTCAGCTCCTGGAGTCAATGAAAGCAGAGTTTACAGTGAGGCCTAAAATTGATACCAGCTGTTTTGAGAAAATGGTGTAGCTTTCTTGAGGCTCCTGTGAAAATAATGTACACATTTCATGTCTTTAATGTTATGTCTAGGTCGCACTGTTTAAAGAACTGGCTGGTTGGGAAGAATTCATGAAATGTCAAAAGAAAGGTTCCAATTACACCTTGACATGAAGGACCAAGGAAAATGTGCAATCAGGAAGGGCATGTTTTTCCCTGACAGAGTTCAAAAGTTGGCAAACAAAAGGAAATATTTCGTGTATGTTTTTGCAGGAAAGGTGGCTAGACGGTCTCAATGTACTCCTTTAATCATTAATCTTGCTGGCAAATATTTGCTATTTAACTAACAAATATGAATACCACATTATGTTGCATTTTATTTATTTTAAATGACTGCTGTGGATGTTATCACCACTACATCACACTTGTAATTTAATTTTTAAAGTATGGGTTCCCTGTAATTCCCGTCTTTGCAGAAAATGGAATCATAGAATCATAGAGTTGGAAGAAACCTTGTGGGCCATCCAGTCCAACCCCCTTCCAAGAAGCAGGAAAATTGCATTCAAAGCACCCCTGACAGATGGCCATCCATCCTCCAAAGAAGGAGCCTCCACCACACTTCAGGGTAGAGAGTTCCACTGCTGAACAACTCTCACAGTCAGAAAGTTCTTCCTAATGTTCAGGTCGAATCTCCATTCCTGTAGTTTGAAGCCATTGTTCCACATTCTAGTCTCCGGGGCAGCAGAAAACAAGCTTGCTCCCTCCTCCCTATGACTTCCCCTCACATATTTATAAGTGAACGTTGAAGTTGGTTTTTTGGGAGCAGGAACGCAGGGGATGCAGGGGTGGAGACATTCTGGAAATGGTTTCGTGACTGGATGCCTCCAGGGCACCCCCTAACTGTCTTATCATAGAGTTTTCATGATAAAAGACATTAAGAATGTTTTATTGGTGAAGGCTTCAGCTTAGTATGTGCAAGAGTTAGCTAAAATTCTACTGCAGAGATCCTCTGCTTGCATCCCCTTCCACTACTGCTACTGATCAGCAGTAATTTGATTTAACTGGCTCCTCAGCAAAGATCTGTCTGACTTGGAAGATCCTACCAACAGCAGTACTATCATCATCAGCATAGCCTCTTGTTTAGTAGGAGCATCAACCCCACAACCACGGAAAGATTGGGCCTTATTGGGATCCGTCCATTTTAGCAGCTTAAATTTAGAGGACCAGAGACTTGTTCAGTAACTGAGAATTAGGCCTCTTTCACACAGCTATATAAAATCCACATTGAATTGGATTATAAGGCAGTGTGGACTCAGATAATCCCATTCAAAGCAGATATTATGCTTTATCTGCCTTGATATTCTGAGTTATATGGCAGTGTGGAAGGGCATTTAGAAATCCCTTGCTGACCCACCACATGTCATCAGAAATCTACCAATACAGGCTGAGTATCCTTTATCTATAATGCTTGGTGTTTTGGATTTTGAAATACCGATAATGAGATATCTTGGAGATGGGACCCACATGAATTCATTTACACTTTGCATACACCTTGTACACATAACCTAAAGGCAATTTCATATGGTGTTTTTAAAGAGTTTGTGTACTTTGAGCCAAAAGAAAGCATAAATGTTGCTGTCTCATCCATCCATTTGGATAATGTTGGTATTTCAAGTATTTTTGATTTATCAATCTCTACATCAGATTATATAAAAAACACAATAATATATAAATAAAAAAGTTATCTTGTGGCACCTTTAAGACTAACCAATTTATTTCATCGAGCATTTTCATGGACATCACTCTACTTTATCAGATGTTACCATGCTTCAGAGTCTATGAAACATTATGATGAAATGAATGGGTTAGACTTAAAAATGCTACAAGGTTATTTCTTTCTGGTGGATCTGTTACTCAGTTTTATATATCTGGAATACTCAAGGGCTAAGTAGCCAAACATGAAAACAAAAATGAACAAATAAGCAAACAGGAAGTGATCAAAAGGTCCCATTTAGTTTTGAAAAAATGGGAGAAGCTTGGCTTGTGACCTTTGAAAAGATGAAAAACTGCTCTTAAAAACTTCCAGAGAGGCAATTTATCACTTCCTTTTTGTCAGCAAAAGGGTAGGCTATTAAGTCTGGAGAAAACCACAAAAATAGCATGGGGTGGGAGCAGGAATCTCCAGGGATTTCACTAACTAATGGAATGCACAGCCTCCTCTGCCATAGACCATCTCATTCATGTTGTGATAAAAGCTTCGGGAAAGTTGCTCTTTCTCCATCATGAGACCGGATTGTCAACAGAGCTGTTTATTATAATGAATCATCATGTTGTTAGAATGAATGGTTTATGTTGCCATGGCAAATGCTGAACAAGAAACCTGGAGTATTTTTATTTGGGTATGCTGGATAATTGTCCTTATTTGTCTGTGTGCTCATAATTGCATACTATGCTGGCTGTTGAGGCACAAACAATACTGTTAATTTATTTGAACACAAGATACCATTTTGCAAATGTATCTATGGTGAAATAGATTCATTTTGCCTGGAACAGATTTTTTTTCATATTCTACTTTCTTTTCTGATCTTTTCCCTTTGGCATGAAAAATATCTTTTGGAAATATGGCCAGGATACATTAATTAATTAATAATAATGAATAATATTTAATAAATAGAATAATTAATAAATGGAGCCCCCAGTGGTGGTTAAATTGCTGAGCTGCTGAACTTGCTGACTGAAATATTGGTGGTTCGAATCCAGAGAGCGGGGTGAGCTCTTGCTGTTAGCCCAGCTCCTGCCAATCCAGTACTTCAAAAATATGCAAATATGAGTAGATCGATAGGTACCGCTCCAGCGAGAAGGTAACGGCACTCTATGCAGTCATGCCAGCCACATGACCTTGGAGGTGTCTATGGACTATGCCAGCTCTTCAGCTTAGAAATGGAGATGAGCACTACCCCCCCCCCCCCCCCCCCCCCCCACCGCCCCAGAGTCTGACACGACTAGACTTAATGTCAAAGGGAAACCTTTACTATGTATTGTTGAAGGCTTTCATGACCGGAATCACTGGGTTGTTGTAGGTTTTTTGGGCTGTATGGCCATGTTCTAGAAACATTGTCTCCTGACGTTTTGCCTGCATCTAAGACAGGCATTCTCAGAGGCTGTGAGGAAAACTTTACCTTTACCTTAATAATTAATAAATACTTTTGCAAACTCCTTTCTTCTTCTTCTTTTTGTTGTAACTGTACTATCTATCTATCTATCTATCTATCTATCTATCTATCTATCTATCTATCTATCTATCTATAAAACAAACTAGAGAATCTTGCAGAAACACAATTTCTGACCTATAGTCAGACCTGATTGGTCAGATTGCTATCTTGCTACTTATAATTTCTTTTCTTTTCTCAGACAAAAATCATTTCCCAGAGACAAAATTCTTTCATAGTACAAATTTCATCACACTCAGAAAATGTTCTAGCTGCCCAGGAACAACATCAAAAGCTATTATGACACATTCTTTAACATCAACACTGGACAATGTGTCATGGGATTCTGTAGAAATATCTTATTCATTAAGAAGGAGGCTGCTTATAAGTCTCGAGGACACTTTACCATGATCAGGGCTTGTCTATTTCCTGCAGCTGTTCCACTATGTTTGCATGAAAAACCAGGCGGAAGTCTGGCAAGGCTAAATTTGTAGGGCCAGCATTTGTCAGAGTTATAAGGAACTACAGACAGGTGGCATCTCTTTACCTTCAACGCTTGTTCCTTGAAGTATTGCAGAGCGTAAGCAAATATATCAAGTGCCTTGACTTTCTTTCCATTTGCAGCTGTCAAGTCTGTTTCCAGGGACAGATTCTTGGGGAAGAAAATGATAAGACAATTATTAAAAGGAAGTAGTCAGTGTCAAATGCTACTGGCGTTTGCCTTGAAAGGACATGATTCGTCAGGTTACGCACAAGGTGTCTCTTTTTGCTCTGGCAGCACTGAGATGGTAGAACTGAGATTCCACATGGGTGCAAGCCAATGCATGGATCCCATATTATGTATATGTACAAAATGGGTGTGTCATTTTGTTACAACCAGTCCCAATATATTGCCTACCATCGCCCCTATTTTATCAATTCTGCTTCATGCCAACCTGCCAAAGTTGTGACAGGAGTTAAATGAGCATTGATTCTTCAGCAATTCGCCCACTAACATTATCCCGGGGATTGGCAGGCATGGAAAGACTTCCTTGAACATATAATTTTATGCTTCCCACACAGACCTAACTGAAGTCTTCTTCAATCAGATCGGCCATGGAGTGCTGCTGTGTAGCACCAGACAATCAGCCACAGGATTAGCAGGCTGCTTCCATGCTTTCAGGAGCTCATGAAAAATGGCAAGGACATTTGGTGTCATGCCTATTTGTGTCCCCATACTTCTTTCACCTGGCTGAAAACTTGGGGCCCGCCCAGACAGTACCTTTATTGTGGTATCTACCACAATAAAGGTGGGGCTGTTCAGACATTCTGGACAGTCCCGAATTAATTTGATACATACCAGGACAACCCTGGTTTGTAGTGAATTAATTAGATAGTGGGTTTATTCTGCGCCTTCTTGGAAGGTGTGGGATAAACCTACTACTTTTGGTTCTGGACTGCAGAATACTGTAGTCCGGACAGTATTCCTACAGTTTACCAGGCTAAATAAGCCGAGTAAACTATGAGAATACCCAACTCCCTCCCCTCAAACCCCCAGACCCCTGAGAAAAGTAATGAAAACTTACCCGGCCTCCATTACAGGTTTCGGCCAGCTCTCCCGGTGCATAGAAATGACGAGCTAGGAGACCGGGGGGGGGGAGGAGGAAAATCGCTCCCCCTCCCTCTCCTGGTGCATCATTTCTACATGCCGGGACAGCTGGCCAAAGCCTGTTATCGAGGCCAGGTACATTTTCATTAATCTTCTAAGGGGTCTGGGGCTTTGGGGGAGGGGGGTAGGGCCTCCAGATGTTCTCTCAGGCTAGGCCTGAGAGAATGTCTGAACACCCACCCCAGAAAGCACATGCTTTCTGGGGTGGGTGTGGACAGGCCCCCAGGAACATGCGCATTTTTAAAACGTGGATTCTCCTAGGATAAAGGCCTGGCTGGATCCTCCCTAAGACTTTCAGCAAAGTCTGCCTCCTGTGCTGAAGAAAGCTTCCAAATTGTCTTTACTGGACTTGCTTGCTTAAAGTATAAGGTAATGACAATCTGTCCTGACAATAATGTGTTCATTTTTTCTGATTCAGTCATACCCTCAACTAACTTTTCACATGTATTTCTTCCTCATAACTTTGCTAAATATGGTAGTATCTGGATCTCTTAGACAACCCCCCAATCCACAACCCTTAATCTCCCCCCCCCCTTGCCTATATTTAAGAACCATCTTGCCTGCTATTATTCCAAATTTGCCCTTCCAAATTATAGAATTTTGACTGTGTATTTCACTGATTCATTTTAAACAACATTGAAGACATATAAGCAGGCTGGCAATCTATGTAATTATTAAGCAACACATAATAGTTTTTATAGCTCTTGAATGATACTATTCACATAACCACACCATGTCGTGTATAAATGAGCACTAAACTCCAGACCATTGCTTATACGGCAAATTTACACATCAGTGCTTGCTATAATGAACACTGCACAATATAAAGGGGAGAGATGGGACTATATGTGGTAATTTGATCAAGATTGGAGCCTGGGGTAACTGTGGCTCTCCAATTCATGGTCTGTACATATTACTAAGTTTTAGAAGAAACATTATCTCTTCTTCATGCTTGAGAGTATTCCCTGGCAGAGACATTTATTGCATAAAGTCTGAAATGGCCCTCGTTTATCAGTGAGGTCTTCCTGGAATCTGTCGCTACTAAGGTAAATTTTACCTCAGGCATTGCATGTATTGATGACTTAGGGAGTGAAACTCTGAAACTCGGTGTAACTAATGGTGACAAGAATGGCATTAATTTTTAAAGGCTAGACAATCTCCCCAAAAGGGGAAAATTGCTCCAGAAAGCATTTCTCCAAGTCTGTGTGTAATATATCTTTGTTTCTGTTGTGTCGTCAATCAATTCCAACTTATGCCAGCCTTACCATAAAGTTTTTCAGGCAGAATTTTTTAGAGGGGTTCTTCCATTTCCTAGAATGGGAATCATCCACAATCACGCTGAATCTACACTGTGGAATTAATGCAGTTTGACACCACTTTAACTGCCATGGCTCAATGCAATGGAAAGCTGGAATTTATAGTTTGGTAGGCACCAACACTCTATGGTTTCCATGATGCCATGGCAGTTAAAGTGGTGTAAACAGGATTAATTCTATAGTATAGATTCACCCCAAGTGGGCTTCTATGACTGGATGGGGATTCAAGTCTAGACTTCCAAATCCTAGTCTAAATCAAACTGCTATACTATGCTTTCCGTGTGTGTGTGTGCATATGACTAACATATATTCAGTTAGAAGTGCAAATATATTCATTTCACTTACACTAGTTGTGTGAAGCTTCATCTTAAATTTTTCAAAATACAACCAGTGCTTTGACTCGTTGGGATCTAAGTCATGGTAGAAATCTCTGGCTGCATAACCAAAACTATGGAATTTTTTTTCTGGTGTTAAGAGGATAGTTGTTGGTGTTTTCTGGTTGGACACACCGGGGTCCCCTCCTTCCCATCGCCTAAAATAAAAAAAAGGAACATTATTTGGAACCAATGAAATTTAGTGTATATTTCCATGCAGTTCAGAAATCACAATAGCCTGGGGAATTAAAAAAAAAGAAAACCAGACTAAATATTTTAAAAATGAAAGCAATAATAATTGACATCAAAGGGAGGGACACCCAAGGGAGGGAGGTTGCTGGATTCAGCTGTAAAATAAGATCAGTGCCTCTAATAACAACTTTCCAGTTTAAACCACTGCTAAATCCTAGCATGGATTTCCTACTTTATTGACATTGGAGCCATCATCCTCCATTAGGGACATCTATGAATTATGGAACATCTACTGTGACAACACAGATTGAATATCCCTTATCTAAAAATCTGAAATGCTCCAAAATTGTCCACATGGGAGGCTGAGATAGCAAGATGTTTGCCTTTTCATGGTTCGGTGTACACAAACTTTGTTTTGTAGACACAACAGTTACAAATATTGTGTATAAAATTACATTCAAGCTATGGAATGTAAATTAATTTCATGTTGTGTGGTGTGTCCCATCTCCAATGTGTCTCATTATGCATGTGCAAGTATTCCACAATCCAAATATAAATAAATGAATTCCAAACCCTTAAAAAAAAGCTTCTAGGCCCAAGCATTTCAGATAAGGAATACTCAACCTGTACTGTGTCTACAGGTACAAAGAAAGATTTTCCAAGGCATAGAGATGGGTGGTCAAGAGAACATGCACATAAGGTATTCATGATCACAAAATGTGGTAATTGCTAGTTGCCTAGATAGCAATAAAAAGGATTTGATACATTCATAGAAGATACGCCTATCCCCCACTATAATCCTAAAAGCCAACAGACAATTCACATACTTTTATATCCCTAGCATCCATCATTTTGAGTTAGATTTTAGTGCAGGCATATGCTTCTCTGGGATCCATGGAAGAGCATAAGGAAAGATGTCATCAGTTCTACACAGAATGTTCAGAGATTCAACAAAAACTACTGCTTGTTAAATCCTACGCAGCAGCTGCACGTTTAAGGCAAGAAGAAAGGTATTGTTTTGATCAGGAAACCTTAATGACTGTAATTTTGACTCATTCAGGGACTGGTATGTTAACAGAAAGTGCACTTAGGAGCTGAATAATTGTAACAGTCATCTATTCTCTCCTAAATAGAAATTGCATTAGACCTCTCCCTGGGATGAATACTTCGGAGGAGCTACCATAGTAGTTCACCGACAGCATGGCTAAGATTTGTAAAGCAGCATTTAATAGCCAGACATACAATTCTTTGAAATGTTTTTCTACACATGGGATGACAAAAGTTCTTGAGTGCGGAATGTTCTTTGGTTTTAATGGACACAGCAGAAAATTCATTTACAAGACAATCTGAGCATTCAGTGATTTTAGTTTTAAAAGACCAAGTTTTTAGTCCATAAGGATTTGAAACAAAACTACAGAAATGGAAGCAACAGGAAGACAGATGGATTTGTGGCCTATGAAAGAACTTTAGTGCTTTATAGGATGGAAAGGATCTTTGGAAATATTTGAAAGATGGTCAAAACATGCTTCTCAAATATTGAGAAATCTTGACAATGAGAAACCTGGACTGGTGAGAATCTTTACAGTTGGGGACTTTTTGCATATATATATATATATATATATATATATATATATATATGCTCAGAAAACCAAATTTTCATACAAAGCGGATTTTCTGTGCAAAAAACTTATGTGCAGAAAATACTATTTTCAACTCAAAATGACATGTTCAATTTTGCACAGAATAAGTCCCAAAGTACCAAAGACCAAAAGTATAGTATTTTCTACATACGAAATATATGTCTGCGAAATCGTTATTTTCCACAAAAAGGAAAGGTATTTCATTTGTAGAAAATGCTATTTTCTGTGCACAAATATCATGTGCAAATTTTGCACACAATTAAGCACCCAACTACCATGTTTCCTGCACAGAAAATCTTGTCTCCACTCAAAAATAACACATGGAAATTTGTCCAGAATAAATCTTGAAATGTGACTAGTGTTCAAAACCTGTAGTTTTAAAACTTTCTCAAATTGGTGTCTTCTTGGATTAGCACTTTTCCATTTCCTTATGATTAATAAAATATGATAAACAACAAACATGTGTGTGAATATTTTTAATATGCACAATATCACAGTATGTACGCAGAGATTTTTTTTCTGAGGGGAGGGCATCTTGGGGTGCATCTACACTATAGAATTAATGCTGTTTCATAGAATTTTAATTGTCATAGCTTAAGATTATGATATGCTAGGATGTGAAGTTTCTTGAGACACCATCACTATTCGGCTGTGAAGGTTAAGGACCTTGCAAAATTACAACTCCCAGGATTCCATAGCATTGAGCCTTTGCAGTTAAAGTGCTGTAAATAGGGCTGGGTGGTTTCGTTTCGTAATTTTGTAATTCGTTAAAAATTCATTATTTTTTTTATAACGAAGCGATAACGAACCATTCAGGAGCAACTAAAAAACAAAATGAATTTTTCAATTCGTTTCGTAATTGTTTCGAATTCGTTTTGTATTCGTTTTGTTATCGTTTTGAAATCGTTTCGTTATTATTTCTGCATGTCTGGGGCAAGTTTTATAGTTGTTGTTTGTTTAATCAGTGAAAAAAAATTATAAATATCACACCAACAGTCAACAACAGAGGGAGAGGGAAGCTTCAGAAGTCCCCCCTGTCCCATTTGGAGGTTTTTTAGCATATTGCGCGGTCGCGTCCTCCATTAACGAATCGATTCGTTATTGTTTTGAAATTGTTTCGTTATTGTTTCATATTGTTTTGTAATTTACGAAATTTCATAAATATCGAACTTTTTAAAAGAAAAATTTCGGAATTCTTTTAAAAATCGAAACGCAAAAAACCCCAAAAAACGAATCGATTTTAGAAACAAATTTTTCCGTGGTTGCCCAGCCCTAGCTGTAAACAATCATCAATTGAATGAGTCTTGCTATGTTGTATTTTACAGATGTGACTACTAATGGTGATGTACTAAAGATAAAGATCCTTCAAAGTCAGATTTTGACTAGCTTTTGGGTCATATTGCAGAATACTACCAGAAACATAACATTCATGACAGATCAATCCAAAGACTCGTCTATTTGACAATTCAATTCCCACAGTGGAAAAACACTTTTTTGGAAAAATATTTTAAATTCCTGTGATCACAATCTTAAACACATGTATATGTGAACTCACCCAAAGCGTAATGATACCATAGCACTTCCCCATTTAGATGCTGTGGACCATCCACAATGATCTTATGATATGATTAAGTTCTAAGCTTTAAAAGAATGGCAAACCCAGAGGTGAAAATATTAATTGTATTGCTAATTGCTGTAAAAATGACAGTCTGTACTAATATTTAGGATTCGATTATATCAGGGTAAAAGAAAAGAAAACCAAAAGGACAAGCATGAGGGTGCTTCTTAGAAGAGGAACAGAATCACCAACTTGATATAAGAATCAGTAAACATTATGAAGACCTTCCTGTCAGTAAGAGCTTCTTGACTTTGGCCTATGGTGGAGTCTCCTCCTCTGGAGATTTTTAAACAGAAGCTGGATGGCAATCTGTCAGAAATGCTTTTATTGCATATTCCTGTATGGCAGGGGTTGGACTGGATGTCACTTGTGGGCTCTTCCAACTCTATGATTCTATGTTGAAGTACCTGCTACTTGATCTACTTATTCCTGAAGAATACTTGCCTCGCCACCTCGATATCACTTTCTCTTCCGATGGCTCTTTACTCATTCTCACATCATACTTAGCAAACACTGGGCATGACTTCCTCATGCGTTCTGTGTATCCAAGGTAACACTGTGAGTAGTTTTGGTAGGGATGTCATAATTCCTCCATAGGAATGTAAATGTTCACTTAATTAATTCTCACTTTTAACAAAGAAGAATTAAAATGAGACCTCCCCAATGACTTTTTGCATTACAGCTTCATTCTTTTTCATTTCTACAAGGATGGTAATTTATATGAACATGTCTATTTTTAAATTTAAGTTCTATTTTTTAACAAAGCACTCAAATGAAGAACATCTTGGGTTGTTGTAGGTTTTTGGGGCTGTATGGCCATGTTCTCTCCTGACGTTTCACCTGCATCTATGGCAGGCATCTTCAGGTATCCTCACAACCTCTGAGGATATCTGCCATAGATGCAGGCGAAATGCCAGGAGAGAATACTTCTAGAACATGGCCATACAGCCCGAAAACCTACAACAACCCAGTGATTCCGGCCATGAAAGCCTTCGACAATACGAAGAACATCCTGTGCTGGCTGACCAATTTCTCAATAGGGCATTTTAAGTATTGTATACATCCGTATCCTTCCACAGAGAATTTTGCTAGTAACAAATGGATAAACATGGGGAGCAAGGAATTTGCTTCATATTATTGTTCCAGGTAAGTTCAAATAACTCAAAGTCAATATCATTAGTATATAACTATGCTTTAGAGCACAATGTGATTCTTCTAAAACCTATCTGCAACTATCCACTCTATTGTTCTTTTTATTTCCCCTTATTTCAAAGACAAAGTGTTAATTATGAGTTAAAATCTCTGCACCGAAATAAAGGGCTTAACATGTGAAAATATGATGGTTTCTACAGGCCTTATGATTAATTCCGACCCTTTAATACCTTCCCCATTAGGTAATTTTTCCATCCCATTTCTGATTCCTACATACAGCTATTTGACTGACCGCATCACCCTGTAGAAGCTGCCTGGGTCCTGAGATCTTCAGGAGAGGCCCTTCTCTCAGTCCCACCTCCATTTCAAACTTGGTTGGTGGGAACAAGAGAGGGGGCCTTCTTGGTGGCTGCCCCTCAACTCTGGAACTCCCTGCTGTCCTTCCATTGGTAGGCTAAAACCTCACAATCTCTGAGGATGCCTGCCACAGATGCAGGCAAAACGTCAGGAGGGAATAATTCTAGAACATACAGCCCAAAAAACCTACAACAACCCAGTAAAACCTTTTTATTCAGGAAGGCTTTTAAATAAGATGGTTTTAAAGATCAAGTCAGGGGGTTCTGTGGTTTTAATTTTGAATGAGTTTTTATCAGTTTTTATGGATTTTAACTGAATTTTTAATACCATTTTTAATTCTGTTTGAATTTTGTATTGAAATCCTTTTCATGTAAACCACTTTGAGTCTCCTTTGAGGAGAGAGAAAAATGGGGTATAAATAATAATAATAATAATAATAATAATGTAATAATAATGCTTGAAAAAGTTACACTATTGGGTGAGGGATTCCAGGAACCGTAGTTTGAAAAAGTTACTTATTAAAACACTGTTCATCGCTTCCTAAGATGCTTTTTCCAAACAATTTTTGTCCTTTTTTCCACCTTTGATTTAACTCTGTTCTCTTGGTGTCTCCAAACCCTTTAATCTGCTGCTTGCCAACTCTAATGGCATTGAATTCCCAAACCACATGCCCTTGCCCTTACTGGAAAAGGATCAAAAGAAAACCAGGAGAAAAAACGAAAAATGAAGTGAGCACTGAATTCATATAAACCACCGTGCAATGTCTTACATGACAATAACTGAAGAGTTGGAAGGGCCTATTTCTTCCCTACAGAAAAATAGCAGACAACTTTCTGTTTTGCGGAAACTGGTTCTGGTCCCCTGGGGAGCTTGACTGCTGAACAAGAGTATGCTGGGAAATGAACCTCAGCTGCACAGAATCATATTCTTCCCTTTACACTATCTGTGTACTGCAAGACCAGCTGCAGCTGACAAAATTGGAGGGAGAAAAATTTGGGTGAGTTTTTTGCTTGCTTGCTTGTTCGTTCATTTGTTTAGTTTAGTTCTAACCAGGTATCTAAAGAATACCTAAAGAATACAAGTCTTTCCCTGTTGTTGCTATTGCAGAATGATACAACAACAAACTGTCCAGGGAAGTTATCCAATCTTTTTTGGAGACTTTTTTTCTCCGTTTTTGAAACTGAATGTTCATCTGTCAGGAATTATTTAGGTCTAACAAATCAGATGAATGCAGCGGACTGGATTACTGACCCTTGCAACTCCCTCCAGCTCTATGAGGCTAGGATTTTGGTTGGCCTCGCAATTTCTCTTATGCCTATTGTCAGTTCACAGTAAGTTTAACACTTAGTTATCAGTCTGCCGAGGTCTGTTTATTGATTTGCTGTTTCTGTGTTAATAATAAAGGTAAAGAAATGATTTTTTTACAATGGTTCTCCAAAAAGCAAATATTGGAAAAGGATCCATAGAAAATCGGGGGGGGGGGGGGAAAGAATAGATTGCCTTTTAGCTTCTATTATAATGCAAATAGCTCAAAACCAGAAATGATATAAACACCATTTTAAAGATATTTATTTATCTTGTGAAATGATTCAGTTGTGCATTATTGTTTTTATAACCTTTTCTGCTCTACCAGTTGTCACACAGCTTGAAACCTACAGAGTTTAAATATTGATGATGAATAGTGAATATTTGGTACTTTGAAATGAATCATGAGATGATTTTTCAAAATGTTTTAGTTGCATGACTGAAAGGCATGTAGTCATTGCAATTGTTGGCTTGACTTGTTACAACTGATATTCTTCTTGACTGCAAAACTGTTGGCTAGCCTATTCCCATTTGAAACTGAATGGCTGAAGAAGTTGAATTTTTGTGAATTCTGATTCAATCCTGCACTTCTTAGACTAATGTGTAAATCAGAGTGCAATATCAAATTGCCAAGGGCCTACTGAGCTGGGTCAACTAGATCAGCGGGAACTGTAATGACTCCTAGAAGTGTTGGAAAGCATCACTCTGCCATCAGAGCTCTGTGATTAACAAGCAGAAGAGGATTCTGTATAATCCTAATCCTAAACATCTAAGGCATTTGAGTTTTAGGATTATACTATTACCCATTGGCTGGATATTCTGAAAGCATCCAGGATATTTTTACAATTGTTCTAATGAAGTTCTTCACTTGAAAAATTGTTGATATTACTTTTGAAAAACCAGTATGTAGTTTGAGAGAAGACTCCATTGAAAAATGAATATTTAAATGCAAAGTTTCCATATAGATTTTTTTGAAAATAATGGAGAGAAATGGATCAGTCTAGAAACCTAAATTGTAATTTTCCTTCTTCTCCTCTCTTAAATACACAAGTTTAACATGTTTTATTTAATTTAAGGTCACAATGGCCTAATCCTTATCCCTGGTAATAACAGGTCCTTTGCTCACATTTATGTTCTGAAACACGCTGCTACCTTCACCATCGTAGCTTTTCTGTCCACTGTATAGATAATGTTGGAAAACTTGCTATTACCTCATCACATGGATGCATTCTGGTTCCTTGGTAAAACTGTAGGCGTAGCCACTAGAAGTTGTGCCAAAATCAACAGCCACAACAACAAGAAATGACTGCTCCTCTGTGTCATTTGCTTCAGAGTCCTTCTGTGAAAAGAACAGAAGTAAAGCATATGCATAAGAATTACATAAACATGATGATTAATCTTTAATGTCAAACTATAGCACTACTAATCTCTACACTCAGCCCTCCACATGCAACTTTTGTGGATTTAAAATTTCTTTCTAGGAAACTCTAGGTCCTCCAGTGCAATTCCACAGTCAACTTCTGGTTGGTGTTGATCACTTACTAGTGCGAGAGAACAAGAGGTTCCTACAGAGGTGCTCTATCAACTATAAAAAATAGTGGGGGTTTTATTTATCATTTTTCTACTTGTGCGGTGCTGTACGACATAACCCCAGAAAACGTGGAGGGCTGACTGTACATTGCCAAGATGAGACTTCATTTTTATGACATGATTTTCCTTTAAATGAATGAGAACCCCGTGCACCATCTCTGTTGCTTTTGTGAGCTGAACAAAGCAGACACTTTTCATTTAGAAGAGGAACGAGGGAATAGTGTAGGTTAGTATACCCTTAGTTATGGTGCTTATATTGTAACTGCTCCATATTCTCATTTGAAATTGTGACACTTTTGCCTAGGATACTAAAACAGCTCCAGGGACTGTTGTGGGGGGTATGGAGCTGATGGAAAAAGGTGCAGGCTATGGAGTTGTCCATGTTTGCCACAAACCAAACAAGCTGTCAAAATAGCACTTCCTGTGAGAGACAAAGTCTGACACTGGATTTTTGTGGGCTCAGGCATTTTTTATCATGCTGTGCAGCAATGACATTACCACACTGATCTGGTATTGCATTTCAGGCCTTGACAGAATGAAGGTCACTACTGCTGACACAAATGTTTTGATTCTCAGTTCCAGGAAAGTATCAAAGGAGATCTTTTCTAGACTTTTCTCCTCTGCAGTAAACTCTTCTCTTATTTGAGACTACTGAAGTTTTCCGTCATCTTAGAAATGTAGTAAATGATGCAACTGCACTGCCTCCCTCAAGGCTTCATCCTGTTTACACCTAGACGCCTTCTCACTCCATACTGAGGGTGTAGGGAACTGTATATAACATACCCTTTAACAGGGGTGTTAAAAGACTTCATTGACATCAGTTGAGTTTATAAATAAATGTTGGACCTGCTTGATAGTCCACTAAGAAGTTTAGCTTAGATTGGTTGGCAACAGAAATAGGTCTTTTTTTCTAATTGATGGAGTTCCCATTGATGGTCCCATCTCTGCCTGAAAGGATTTGAAGATCTTTTCTTGAGGATGATTTCACTAAAGATACAAAGGACTTTTGGATTACTGTTCTTATATTTTTGGTTTGAATTATCATCTGTCACCCTCCATGCTGCCCTAAACAGTGTTTTAAAGGTTCATTGCTTTGTTCTTGTTTATTGGGTTTAATAATCCCCACCACCACCACCACCACCACCACCATCATCATCATCATCACTATCATCATCTGCCTCTCTTTGTGGCTCAAGGTGGATTCCAACATAGTTAAAACACATAGCATTGGAAACATTTTATAAATTCACATATTAAATATGTTTAATTTGTACCTATAAAAGGTACATATTAAAACATATTTCTATAAAATACATATTAAAATGCACAAAAAGAGATTAAAACACAAAACACAAGTTTACAATTCATGTTTTAAAACTGGCTGGGTAAGAATTCTTTAGCTCAGCGGTTCTCGACCTTCCTAATGCCGAGACCCCTTAATACAGTTCCTCATGTTGTGGTGACCCTCAACCATAGCATTATTTTTGTTGATACTTCATAACTGCAATTTTGCTACTGTTGTGAATCGTAATGTAAATATCTGATATGCAGGATGTATTTTCATTCAATGTACCAAATTTGGCACAAATACCCTATATGCTCAAATTTGAATTCTGGCGGTGTTGGGGGATGGGTTTGATTTTGTCACTTGGGAGTTGTAGTTGCTGGGATTTCTAATTAATCTACAATGAAAGAGCATTCTGAACTCCACCAATGATGGAATTGAACCAAACTTGGCACACAGAACTCCCAAGACCAACAGAAAATACTGGAAGAGTTCGGTGGACACTGACCTTGAGTTTTGGAATTGTAGCTCACCTACATCCAGAAAGCACCATGGACTCAAACAATGATGGATCTAGACCAAACTTGTCACAAATACTCAATATGCCCAAATGTAAACATCAGTGGAGTTTGGGGAAAATAGACCTTAACATTTGGGAGTTATAGTTGCTGGGATTTATAGTTCATTTATAATCAGAGCATTCTGAACCCCAGCAACAACAGAATTGGACCAAAATTCCCACACATAATCCCCCATGACCAACAGAAAATACTGTGTTTTCTGATGGCCTTTGTCAAACCCTCTGACACCCCCTCATGACCTCCCCCCCCAGGGGTTCCAACCTCCAGGTTGAGAAATGCTGCTTTAGCTTTTATCCCCTGCCCAACAGTTGTGCTTTTTCAGAGATTACACAATATATTTACTGAAAAAGTGGTGGTATGAAATTGTTGGATAAACAACCATCCAACCATATTGCACAACTGCGTGTGTAACTACTATCTTAACTACTTGTGCAATGGTATGATTTAGTGCAAGAGTTCACAAGGGCTTTCACTCATATTTTCACTTAGTGTTAAACTTCACTACCTACATTCATTTGTTTTACAGGATGACAAGGCTCTGTGGCTTTTATGCTGGAAGACTAGTATATCTATCCACCTTGGAATCAATAGTTTTATATTATTAAAATTGTGATTTTTATGCTACCATAAAATCTATGCTGCCTGTTGAGAGGATACTGCCCTGAGGAAACTTTAAAAACCAAAGAAACAGACATAACAATCATCCATTCATAGTCTATAGAATGAAATTATCCCCACAGAGTGGGAAAAAACAATAGAATGATATTCAGGATGCATTTCTTACCGCAATGTGGGATGGAGACAGTGGTGTTATTCCTGGGTCTCCTAGGCTTCTTGCTGGAGATGCATAGGCAGTTGATGAAACTGCTTCTGAAAAAAAATGAAAGTCTTTTAGTTCTCTTTGTGTTTTCCCAGGTGCCAGGAGAAGGGAACCACTGAATATGACACAATCATTCATGATACCAAGTTTTCCCAATATGAGAAAGAAGACTTTACATTAATTGCCTCACATTAATAATATAATATTTTAAAATTGAAAACCTAATTCCATTCCTCTCATAATGCAACTGAAACAAATCCATTTGGGCTGTTATCAAATGGCAGATAGCCTACACCAAAGCTTGAAAAAGTGCCAGGCAAATGCTACTAGAGATGAAGCTCTTCCTTTAGATGTCCTATGTGCATCTTGAAAGAGCAGAGGGTCAGAACCTCTTGGAGGATTTACTTATGTGTAAGGAGCTATGCAGTCAATCCCATTCCAATCCCCTTATACTAGAAGCAGCTACTGCATTCAGTGATGGTCCATCCACCAGGAAACAGCTTATTTGACAGTTCACCTCCTCCTGTGACCTCCAGAGCAATTGGCAGAAATAGTGACCCTGTCACAACTCATCAAAGGGGAAATGGAGCTGTCAGTCAGCTGCTTCCTGATTGACAAGGGAGCAGACCTCAATCGATTGCAGCAGTTGCTTTCCTGTAAGGGAGATTGGGGGGCTTTCATGGACCCAATGGGCAGTATTCCCTAGTCTAGGAGCAGTGGAAAGACTGTGAATATGCAACAAGTGCGTAACTATAGGTTATGCCGCAATAACTGTCGAACAAGACTCTGGTTAGTGATAATATCCTTTGTTTCAAGGATGCATAAACTCTGATCCTGGAACAATATGTTCTTCGAACGACTGAGGCGAAATATTCAAGATGCTCTTGTACTTCTGATTACTTTCTGCCCCCTTATGTCAATATCACGTAGATTACAAATCAATGTCAATATTAATGGGTGAGAAAATGGTCCATCCCCTCCTGGTTAATGGTATGCAGGTATCTATGAATAGCCTTCCACATTAAAGCTAACTTCTCATATCATCATTAGGGACAAGTGTAATGCACCTATTCACAATTAGGTTTGGAATCCTGTTAATAGTAAGGCCACCATGCCGCAATTTCTGTCACTTTTTTCATCATTGTGGAGGTCAGAATTCTCTTCTTTCTTCCACAACAAAATCCCCCACCCTACCCCAACTTACTGTTGAGCTGCTATGGTCCCCTTCCTAGTCTTTCTATGCCTGATGGAGATGGATAAGAGAAGAATGTGGCTGTTCCCCTATAGTCAGACAAGAAATGTTTGCATTGTCTGGAAATCCCAAATGGACCTCAGTAATATTTTCTGTATCAGGAGTGACAAGTCACTTCTGGTGTGAGAGAATTTACCATCTACAAGGATGTTGCCCAGAGGACACCAGGATTTTTACCATCATGTGAGAGGCCTCTCTCATGTCTCCGCATGAGACACTGGAGCTGACAGTTCGAAGCTCACTCCACTCCCCGGATTTGAACCACCAAACTTTAAGTCAGCAGTGCTGCCGGCACAAGAGTTTAACCCATAGCGCCATCAGGGGCTCCACCTCAGTGAATGACACAATCATTTTGTGTCTAGCTATAGGGACATAGTCTGATGCATCTCTGATTTCCATCTCCACCTTCTCTCTACTGGCCTCAAAATGGCTGAGGGATGCTATAGCAGTTGAAAGCTCAGTATAGAAGTGTTGGTAGGTGACTTGAACATAGTTCCACATGCAGAACTATTATGTGCCATTGTAGCATATGGGATTGTGGTGTTTATTTATTTGTTTCATATACTTGTACCTCGCCCTTCTCACCCCCAAGTGGGGGGACTCAGGGTGGCCTTGCAGCAAGCACCGTTCGGTGCCATCACAATCATAAAAATGTTCAACAAATTCATTAAAACACATTAAATCAGTGGTTCTCAACCTGTGGGTCCCCAGGTGTTTTGGCCTACAACTCCCAGAAATCCCAGCCAATTTACCAGCTGTTGGGATTTCTGGGAGTTGAAGGCCACAACATCTGGGGACCCACAGGTTGAGAACCACTGCATTAAATATTACACATTAAATAAACAGTTGTTAAAACACACCAGTTAAAACCAAAGTCTGGGTCAGTTCATTGTCACTTCAAATTGCTTACATCTTCTTCTCACTTACTGCTATTCAATGATCAAACGCTTGGTCCCACAACCAAGTTTTGAGTTTCATTCTAAAGGAAAGAGGGAGTCGGCCAATCTGATGTCTCTGGGGAGGGAATTCCACAGACTGGGGGGCGGGGGGAGAGCACCGATGAGAATGCCCTAACCCTCATTCCCACCAATCACATTTGCGAAGGTGGTGGGATCAAGAGCAGGGCCTCTCCAGATGATCTTAAACTTTGTGATTGTTCGTAACAGGTGATACGTTGGTAAATCTTTTGTATTGTTGATTGGGGAGGACACCTGCGATTGGATATGCAGTTTTCTAATTTTATCTTAGCAAAGTTTTTCTTTACCCTTTAGGTCTTCCCCACATAAAATAATATTTCTGTCTTCTTTCTTTCACTCAGGAAATAGTACCCATGGGGTGGAATAGAATAATTCAAATTTAGCCTGAAGTACATAGGAAAGACAATCTGATCCAGTCCCCTCTGGGTTTTCCTGTCCACTACGCTTGGATGGCTTTCTCAATGAAATAATACTGGTGGTAGACAAGATGGTGGGGAAGGACAATCTCTTCCCCACGTAAAATTTCTGATCTGGATATGGGTGAAGGCTGTATTTATAAAAGAGACCCAAGCTTTGGATAGATCAGCTGAACTTTCTGGGTCACTTTTCTCTTAGCCCATATTGCAATGGTCTAAATTATGGAGGTGGTACAGGCACTGGATAATATTGTAGGGATTGATGCTCTGGTTCTGGCCATTACATGCATTTACAAACCTTAACGAAATGCATGATGCATTTCATGTGGCTATTACTGCTTTAATACCTCTTGGGAAGAAGGTGATTTGGGCTTCTCTGAATAGAATGTGTTCCACTTTAACTCAATCTAGCTAATATACCCCTTTTTTCTTAGGTTTCCATGGCCACCGCAGCAGAGCAAACATCCTATAATCAAAACGGTAGGGGGTTACTGCTTAAAGCTGACAATATCGAAGAGGTTGTTACATTCAAGGAGAAAAAAAGCATTCATAGTAGTGATTTTCCCTGCCTTTTGTATTTTAGTTTCTTCATCCTTAGTCATCCATAAAAGGAAGTATGAAATTGAGTTCTAAATGTTTACTAGCTGTAGCTTATAAAGCAAATATAGCCAGCCACTGATGCATAAATGAAGCCAAACAAATCTTACTTCTGCCACATCTCAAAGAAGGAATTTTCCTCATTTTTATAGCATTCTAAATTTGTAGAATTTTGAAAGCTTTTACCCTGATTTAATTGGATTACAACTGGTCCTCATATTTGCAGATTTAACTTTAGCAGTTTTAATTATTTGCAAATTTGATTAACATGTTCTGTACAGGAAACCTTAGGTCTTCTAGGATGACTCTGTGTTCAAATTCCACCAGAAGTTGACCAGAATCACTCTGAAGAACCTAAATGTGTCTAAAGAAGTGTTATCTTAAGTTTAAAACATGGCTGGTTTTTTACTTTTCGGTTTCCCCATTTTTGTGGGGGTGCTACACCTTAACCCCAAAAATAGTTGTGGGCTTACTGGAGTGGTAAAGTAAGTCTAATTACAAAGTTACTTACTATGATCTTGTTTTCTCAAAAGTCAAATCTTGCTTACTTCAGAAGAACTGGCTTCCTGAAAAATTTCATACATGAAAGCCAGTGCCCCATCTTTCTCACTGTTTTTTGTTTCTCCACTATTCTGCATTTCCATTAGTTAATGTCAGCTAGTTGCTTCCATGTCATTGCAATGTTGAATCCTCTTTTGGTTTTAGTTCAAATGTTACAGGAGTTATCTGTGGTGCTGAAACTGTTTTGCCGATTGGATCCAGAACCTCGGATAGCTCCTTCGGTTCAAAACATGGAATCAATTTTTTTTTTTTGCTCTTCTGGCAGAAAAGCCATCTACTGCCCCTGCCAGTAATCCTGATCCAGTCTCCTTTCCAGTTTCTCACAGATATATTTTTGACTTGTGATGCTGTAGGTTTACCCATCCTATGCAGTTGCTGACACCATTGACATTATTTTATTTCAAGTTGCTGCTGAAGCAGCTTCTTTGCTTTGAACTTGTACTGTCCTCACATTCTTCCAGTTATCAACAGCAATTATTATTATTATTATTATTATTAACTTTATTTGTACCCCGCGAGCATCTCCCGAAGGACTCGATGCGGCTTACACAGGCCGAAGCCACAAAACACAATACAATAGAAAACATAACATAGCAATAACAAAGCAAATCAACAATTAAGCAAAACAGCAATGACAATACATCAAGACATATTAAAACTGGTTCGGCCGGCGTAAAGGGGTACAGGGTTAAAAGTGCTGAAATGGCAGGAGGGGCGTAGGAATTAAAAGTGCGGTGTGCAGCGATGTTAATTGTGCTAAAGTGCTACTAGGACTTGGGATGGGGATTCCTAATCCGAGAAGGCACAACGGAACAGCCAAGTTTTCAAATTCCTTCTGAAAACTGCTAATGTAGGGGCCTGTCGGAGATCTTTTGGAAGGGCGTTCCAGAGTCGGGGGGCCGCCACGGAGAAGGCCCTGTCCCGTGTCCCCACCAAGTGCGCTTGCGACGTAGGTGGGATCACGAGCAGGGCCTCCCCAGATGATCGAAGCGAGTGTGTGGGTTCGTAGATGGAGATGCGGTCACGCAGGTAGGGTGGTCCCAAACCGTTTAGGGCTTTGTAGGTGAGCACCTGCACCTTGAATTGGGCTCGGAAAATAAATGGCAGCCAGTGGAGCTCCTTAAACAGAGGGGTAGACCTCTCTTGATAATGAGCTCCAGTTAGCATCCTGGCTGCTGCCCGCTGGACCAATTGCAGTTTCCGAGCCGTCTTCAAGGGCAGCCCCACGTAGAGCGCATTGCAGTAAT